TCTTAAAGACATAGGGTAGGCAGAAAATTCATGAACAAAAACCAAACTGCACAAGAAATATTTCAAAGAAACAACAACTTAGATCTCATCTAATTGAAAAGTTTTTGCACATCAAATGAAATCAGCAATAGTGTAAAAAGAAAACCCAAGAATTGAGAAAAAATTTTAGCCAACTGTCTCTCAGACAAAGGACTTCTATCTAGAACATATAAAGAATTAAAAAAAAATCAGGCCCCCAAAATTCAAAGACCCAATCCAAAAATGGGCAGCTGAGATGAATATACACTTCTCAGATGAAGAAATACTAATGGCAAATAAATACATGAACAAATGTTCAACATCATTAGTCATTTGAGAAATGCAAATTAAAACAACACTGAGATTCTATCTCACCCCAGAGAGAATGGCCATCATCAAAAAATCAACCAACAGCAAATGATAGAGAGAGAGGCTGTGGGGAAAATGGAACCCTACTGCACTGTTGGTGGGAGTGTAGACTGGTACAACCACTGTGGAAATCAGTGTGGTGATTCTTCACAAAACTAGGATTAGAGGTCCCTCTTAACCCAGCTATTACCCTTCTGCATATTTTCCCAGAAGAATTAAAAACATCATACCACAGTGGTAATATGTGCACTCATATTTATAGCAACACAATTTGTTATAGCTAAATCTTAGAAACAACCCAAATGCCCATCAACTGAGGAATGGATAAAAAAGATGTGGTATTTTTATTCAATGGAGTATTACTCAGCTATAAGAAAGATAAACGCGAAGCTTTTATAAGTAAATGGATGCAACTGAGACCATACTCATAAGTGAAATAAATCAGACCCACATGTGTAAACATCACATTGTCTCCCTGGTATAGAAATCTGAAAGAGTAAATAAAACTCAAAACGTACAATAGATGATATGAAAGGGAAAAAAATTGCTCAAAGGAAGGAACAAGTAGGATGAGGGAAAAAAGAAAAAAGGTAATAGATAGATAGATAGATAGATAGATAGATAGATAGATAGATAGATGATAGATAGATAGATAGATGTAGATATATAGATACATAGATGTGTGTAAGTATATAGAAGAATAGCTGAGATAACTGTACCGCTGACGTCTGATGGTATACTGAAAGGAACAGTTAATGCTTATAATTTTTTTATACTCTGACCAATTTTGCATGCTTGTATCTGGTAATCTGAGCAACTGATTTGAAGAAAACAATACACAATGGAACAACCATAGGTGAACTCCTACCATCTTGTCTAGTGAAACTCTGTATTATCTCTAATCTTTTATCTAATCACTATTATTTTATTACCTTTAATGGTTTGAACAATCTTCCATTCTTACATCTGGTAATCTGAGCAACATAGCTGAAGGTAACAATATGTAATATAACAATCACTGTTAATTCCTATCATTTTGTTTTGAAACCCTATACCACTTTTACTGTGCTTGCTTTGTTTTGTTTGTTTCTGATGTTGGTATACTGCTATTGTTCTTTTTTTTCTTTTACTACTCGCTTTAAAATAAAAAAAAATAATGTAACCAGAAAAAATAACCACATGCAAAGGAAGACAGCAAACAGGACTGTCAGTCCTGGCTCTGGGTCAAAGCAGCAGGGACAGTCACTTTCGAGAAGTCATAACACTTAGCTTAGCTTCAGGTAGATTTTCAGTTTGACTTAACATTACCATAGGATCTACAAAACCCCAAACCAAGATAAACATAAAGTTGTTCCAAGCTGGTAAAGTGCTTGGACTCACTGGCAGAAGTAATATAAATTCATGCTTCAGACACACTTTTATCCCATGTGCAAAGGATTCTTCCTGATAAAGTCCTGCCAAATATGAGCTTAAAATTCAAATTATAAGGCAAGGGAGGAAACAAATCCTGAGCAGATGTGAAAAGAAATGAAAATTTGGACAACTACCAGGAAGTATAATTAGCTACAATGTATAATTTAACTATTAAAGGACAAAAATGTAAAATCAAAAACAGAAGAAAGGCTAATCATATTTGAAAAAAAAAAAAAAACACTAAAAAAACTCCAAAGAATTGGAAAATATTTAAAAAGTTAAACATCCTTAAGCAGAACATTAGACACAGTTAAAAACTGAACAAAGTAGAAAACACATTAGCCAGTATAAAAATACGCTATTGTGGAAGAATTCAAGAAATGTAAAGAGAGGATACCAAATTGTAACCCATAAGGAGAGGGCAAAGAAATTGTTAGGCTAATAAATGGTGCAAAGAATCAAAATTCAATCACATAGTGGTTCAGAATTTTCTAGAATAAAAAGACATGAATCAAAGTCTAATGAAAGACATTAAATCCAAAGCAAGGAGAGGGCTGGGGATATAGCTCCGTGGCACAAGCACCTGCCTGGCAAGCACAGATTCCTGAGTTCAATTCCTGGTACCAAAAGAAAAAATAAAAGTAAGGAGAAAAACACAAATCCATGTCTAGACACATCATAGATATTGAACAACTATGAGAAAGGAAATGTAAACTTTAAGAGAGAAAAAAATCAGATTACTTTCAAAGGAACACAGTTTATAAATTAGCTTCTCGAAAGCAGCATAAAAGCCAGGAAATGGTGACATAATCTATTTCCAAAGTAATGAAGAAAAAAAAATTGCAGGCTTTTATACTTCAACTCTCATCAACAGTAAAGGAGAAATATTCCTGAAAGAATTCAGCCACTGGCCCTGCAGAAGCCACCAAGTCTCCAGTATACTGGAAGAAAAACTGGATCCTGCTTGGTTCAGAACTGGGACACTTCTGAGCTTCAGTGTGCAGACAACCTCAATGCCACTCTTACATTTAGTCTCCAGATGTAATATATCTTCAGCAATTCATTTCTTTAAAACTCAAAAACAGAAGATAAATTAAAAATATCAGAGTTATCGTCAGTATTTTTAACCACTCCATCCCTCCCCAGTCAGTGTAACTTAGGCAAGAAAGTGTCTTAATAGGACCTTTGGGTAGAATTTGAAAATTGGGAGCAAGAAAGAGCACAAGCAAGCAAGCCGGAGCAAGAACATGAATCAATTAAAGAGTCTGTAGAATATTATGTAAGCGAACAATGGAAAGTTAAAAGGAAGCCATGGGAGACAGTCTGAAGTGGCTTTCAGCAGAGTCAATAGAATTTTCATGCCATGGGGCAGCACATGACTCAGATCCCTCTTCCACGGATTTTGTTGACAAGTTGAAAAGATGCCAATACTTCCCATCCATTTAAGAAGTTCAGCTACTAGTATAAGTCTCAGTTGCATTTATGTTTTCATGATTACAAGTCAGAACAGCGTTAGAGTTGGCAGGAAGCAGTGCTTGGATTTAAGCAAGGCAACAGGAACACTACCCCAAATGTTGTAAGGAAATTCAGGACAAACCAAAGAGTTTACTGAGTGGCTCCAGCAGAGAAATACATTGCTTGGAGTAGACCCTTCCAGATTAGCTGGATATAGACCCTGAGCTCTTTTACAACTCTAAAAGTGATAGATAACTAATAAGCAATGCAAAATAATTCTTGCCTATAAATATACAAATAAATTCTCTCCAGTGGAGGTTCAAATGATTCCTCCATGGAAATCCTAGTTTTGCCTGTTGTTACATCCATGTCAGCATTCCTATTTATTACATAGAAGTTTACATTTCTCTGGATTCAATTTGAACCAGTTGTAACATCTGTCTGGTTTCCTCATTAATGAATTAAAGAAAATTCTTAATAAATAAATACATGCATTTATATGAGACTCGTGATTTTGCCCATTTTTGAAAATTATCCTTTAACATCAAAGAGAAGCATTAAAACAGACCATATTTCAGAAGTTGTCTTCAAAATGAACAGTTTATATATAAAGTTGTAGTTCTGAAGAAGTCTGTTAAGCATAATCAAAAAGTTTCATAGATTTCCTTAAAGCACAATCTGTTGATTTTAAGATGAATAATGTGATTTCATCTTAAACTTGTTAATTAGAACATAATGTAAGAAAATTATGTACTCTACTAGAAATTATCACAAATGTTCAATAAAAGAAGTAACTGCTATACATTTTAATATGCTTTATTAATCATACATAAAGCAAGGATATCCTTAGCATATTAATTGGGGAAAGACAAAAGGCCTCTTTTGCCTTTTATGACATTACCAAATGAATTTACAACCCAAAAATTTCCTGACATGTAATACTACTCATATTTTGACAGGTAGAAAGAGGTGGAGAGAAATGAAGATACTATGCCACTAGTAATTAGAAAAACTAGATTCAGAGCTAGATCTGTCCAAATTCACAGTCTATTTCTAGTACATACTACATTTCTGTGCAATGAATTTTCTCACTAAGTCTCGAATTCAGATAACAAATTTAGTATTACCTCACCTGGTAATAGAAAGAAAAGAACAAACACACTCCAGTGGTTCCAGTAGGTGATTTTGTGATTCCTGTATTCATTTTGGTGAAACAGAAAGAGAAACAACCTTGTCATCTCAGGATGATTTATTTGAAAGGGTGTAAAACTCTTGTATGGCTATTTGTACTAGAAGATAAACTGCTTCTGAAAATTCAAAACACAAAACTGAGTTCAATAGGTTTTTTTCCTTGTTGTTAGTTATGTGTATCCTGCACTTTTGAAAGATTTTGTCAGCATTTTTAATATAACTGCTTATTAAATTTCATTCACTGAAGTTCCACTTGAATCCACACTCCAGTGACATCATTAGTGCATTCTTCTTCAAATAGCTCATATGATCTCGTGACAAATGATCACAGCAAAAGCAATTCCAGAACAGTCTCACACTCTACAATACGATGAAATTCCTAAACGCATTACCACAACGTCTTCAGGTCATCATGCTCACTTTAAATAATGGTATTTGATGATATGATAATGATGTTGAATAATGATATTTAAATACATTCCTCTCAGAATGCAACAAACCAAATTATTTAGTACTTGCCCTTTTTACTCATTCTCAGGAGTAAAGATACTTACCCCATGTTCCTTAGCAGCTTTGACAACTTTGAGGAGGTCATCCTCTTCAAAAAATGGTCTGACAGCATCATGGATAATCACAACTTCAGGCCTGGAGAGTCTGGAGCCAGGCTGGTCCCCTGCCAGTACTTTCAGTCCATTGAAAATTGACCTGTGGCGTGTCACTCCAGCTTCAACTAGTGAGATGCCTTTATGCTGATATTTCTGGATGATACTTTTCATTGCTTCTATGTTTTCTCCAGTTACTGCCACAACAATGTCCTTTATCCAACATACTCTAAAAGGAAAGTACATATACATTTCGTATACATGAATCCTTTAGACATTCAAAGCTAGTAACAAAATTAAAGTATAGTACTAATATATATCATGGTATTTATGTAGAGAAATTAAAAAGTGAGAGCTAATAACTAAAAAAAATCTATGCATTCTTATTAGGTCCAGTAAAGAGGTAGATGGGAAAAAAAGAACATGTCACACTATCAATAGACATGATTTTTCACAGTATATGTAGTGTATTGTACATCAGCATATAAAGAGCACAATATACTACTTATCAGCTATATGAAGATTTTTTTACTTAAATCTGAATAACCAGTGTATCAGGAGATTGAGAGAATAGAGAACCAGAATATGCTTTTAAATTTTTCCTAATACTTTTTCTCCTCAAAGAGATCAAAGTACCTTTTAATTCTAAGAGTTAGCTCTTTTTTCAAGAGGTCTACTGGGTTGGCAACCAGCCACTCAAATATCAAAGCTGGATAAATCAACTCAACACAAATCTTGCCTACACCAAGATTAAATACATAGCTTAAGTGTTGATACCATAGTAATCATTTATTAGTAAATCAGTAAAGGAAGCATTCTGTTGAATAATGAAATATAAAGCCATTTTTTTCTGTTATAAACATTTTGCTCAAGAATGGTACTGCAAATCAGTAAATGGCTACTAAATTAAAGATGTCGGCTGTTCCCTGAAGCGAGCATCATTCAAGTTTCAATGTTCCACTGCCAAGAGCTCCACACCAAGACAACTGCCTCTAACTGCTCACATCAACCCTAAATAAATGTCTCTCAACAATTGTAATGGAATTTTTAGCCTGTGAGGCCCTGGATGTTCATGCTATACCAGCTAAGTCTTCAAAATAAATCACCTATCACATAATATAAAACAACTGCTGACAAAAAATAAGATCTTAATATGTCCTAAGCATTTTTCATATCTTACCTCATGTAATCTTCACAATAACATTTTTATACTGTCTCATAGTATGGGAAACAAGTCAGAAAGATATGAATACACAAATACATTAATGATCTTGACCATACTCCCAAAACTGTTCAGCAGATTCAATGCAATTCCAATCACTGGTAATTAGCATACCTCACAGATCTAGAGAAAATATTCCTAAAATGTATTTGGAACCACAACAGACCTAGAATAGCAAAAGCAATCCTGGGAAAAAAGGAAAAGCAGGAGGCACTACAATCCCTGACTGGAAATTATACTACAAAGCTACTGTGATAAAATCAGCATGGTACTGGCAAAAAGCAGACCTGAGGATCAGTGGAACAAATTAGAAGATACAGACACAACTACAAACACACTCAGCCACCTTATCTTTGACAAAGGGGTCAAACATGTTTACTGGAAGGAAGATAGCCTCTTTAAAAAATGGTGCTGAAAAAACTGGCTTTTCACATGCAAAAGACTAAAACTAGACCCATGTCTAGCACCATGCCCTACACTAAAGTCAAAATGAATCAAATATCTAAATATTAAAACAGAAATACTAAATCTACTGGAAGAGAAAGTAGTAGGAAAGACACAAGGGTAGGCAGAGAGTTCATGAACAAAAATCAAACTGCACGGGGAATACTTCAAAGAAGCAACAGCTGGGATCTCATCTTACTGAAAAGTTTTTGCACATCAAAAAAAATCACCAACAGAGTAAAAAGAAAACACACAAACTGGTAAAAAATTTTAGCCAATTGTCCCTCAGACAAAGGACTTCTATCAGGAACATACAAAAAATTTAAAAAAAAATCAGGCCCCCCAAATTCAAAGACCCAATCCAAAAATGGGCAGCTGAGATGAATATATACTTCTCAGATGAAGAAATACTAATGGCAAATAAATATACGAAAAAATACTCAACATCATTAGTCATTCGAGAAATGCAAATTAAAACAACAATGAGATTCCATTTCACTCTAGAAAGAATGGCTGTCATTAAGAAATCAAGCAATAACAAATACTGGTGAGGCTGTGGGGAAAAAGGAACCTTCTTCACTGCTGTTGAGAGTGTAGACTGGTACAACCACTGTGGAAATCAGTGTGAAGATACCTCAGAAAACTAGGATTGGACAGCCCATTCAACCCAGCTATTCCCTTTCTGGGTATTTTTCAAGAAGAATTAAAAACATCATACCACAGCGATAATATGTGCACTCATGTTTATAACACCACAATTTATGGAGCTAAATCTTGGAAACAACCCAAATGCGCATCAATTGAGGAATGCATAAAAAATATGGCATTTTTATACAATGGAGTACTGCTCAGCTATAAAGAAAGATAAACTCAAGGCTTTTATAGATAAATGGATGCAGAAATATAGAAACCATACTCATAAATGAAATAAATCAGATCCACATGTGTGAACACTGTATTGTCTCCCTAGTGTAAGAAACTGAAAGAGTAAATAAAATCTGAAAGGTACAATAGATATTGTGAAAGGGAAAGAAACTGCTAGGGAAAGGAAAGAAGAAAGAAGGAAGGGAAAAAAATATACAGATACATACATATATACACACAAACACATAAGATAACTAAGATAACTGTACTACTAATTTTTATTGGTTCATTGAAAGGAATAGTCAATGCTTAATTTTTTTGACCAATTTTGCATGTCTATATCTGGTAATCTGAACAACTACTTTGAAGATAACAGTATTCAATATAACAAAATCGTTGATTTCCTATCCCCTTGTTTTGAAATTCTGTATTGCTTTTAATGTTTCTTATTTTTATGCTCTTTAAAATAAAAAATACATTAAAAATCTCTATATTACCATTTCATTCCAAAAAGCACTTGAAATTTGAAAAAAAATGCCATTTTTCATTAAGACAATAAAATACTGTATTTCTGCAGTCTCCTAGACATCGCTTCCTGAGAGCAAAGCCGATCTGTTTTGCCATTGCCTTACACCTCATTCTTAGTAGGTGCTCAATAAATATTTGTTGAATGAACAGATGACTAGGAGCAGAGTAACATCTTACCAAGTACCACAAACTTGATGATGATGAAAACAAAATATGCTCCTTATTACCCTAACAAAACAAAATGAAAAGCACAAATAAAATTAGCCTCTGGGCAGTTGTGTCTTGTTTTGTTCTGTTTTTGCAATACTGGGGATTGAACCCAGGGTCTTTGTAGTGAGCTAAATTCTCAGCCCCCGCCCTTTTTTTTTTTTTTAATTTTGGGATAGGGTCTCAATGAGTTGTCCAGCCTGGGCTCAAGCTCATCTTCATGCCTCAGCCCCGTAGAGCGCTGGGATTGCAGGCATGCATGAGCATGCCTAGACGCAGTGCAGGTTTGTTGACTGTTATTGTCTGTAGATGTTGGACTATCTAGGTCCTGAGGTTCTTACAGATCCAGGATTGCTTTTGTATACTTTATCAGACATCTCTAGAGAAGTTTAATTACAAATAAAAACAATGAAATAACACACAACGCCAAAGAACTGCCTGTACTTTTTTGGTAGTTCGTGCCTGCAAATTTAACAATTCTAGAGCACATACTACACTTCCAATGTAAAGTTTCTGCTAATCATAAAGCCCTTCGCAATGGCAAGTAACTTGTTCTTTGGTCTCTTGTCCACATGGCGTTTCCCAGGTTCTGGCTTCACTGCCTCAGCTATGATTCATCATTCTCTCACAAGCGCATCTCTCCCATACTCCAGTGAATCAGCCTCTTTCCTGTCTCTTCATCTTGTCCTAGTCCTTTCTTGCAATTTCGGAGGCTGAGGGGCTGGGGATTTAGCTCAGCGGCAAAGCGCCTGCCTGGCAAGTGCAGGGTCGTGAGTTCGGTTCCCGGTACGGGAGAAAAACAAACAAACAAAAAAAAAAAATTTCGGAGGCTGTCTCGTCAAGTGCAATCTCCAAGGCCACGCCCTGCTGGCTCTGGAGCTAGGTCTTGGGAGATCCGGCCTGAGCCTACTTCACACACCACATGAGCTGGTCTCTTCTAGGCTTCTCTTCCTTCCATGTTTCAAGCCCAGCTGCTCCCAGAAAGAAGGAATCGCGTTCTCCCAACCCAGGGCCCTGTGCTGCCTTCCTGACTCAGCATGGCCCCTATCCCTCTGCTTGAATCCCACCCACTCCTGTTTTAGTCCCACTTGCTCTTCAGCTCTCAGCTAAGACGGAGCCCCTTTGTGGAAGCCCTCTGTGACTGCCACTCTGCCTCCTCTAGCTTCCAGGCGATTCACCAGGGTAGTAAGCGTTTCAGTGCACTATACAGCATTTATCGTTTTCCCTCTGCCTCACTAGGCTGCCAACTCTTGGAAACTCAAGCTACACCTCAGAACTTGGCACATACGTAACTTTCAGGAACATTAATAGTGAAAACAAGGGGCTGGGGGTTTAGCTCAGCAGCACAGCACCTGCCTGGCAAACGCGAGGTCATGAGTTCGATTCCCAGTACCGGAAAAAAAAACAAAAAACAAACAAACAAAAATAGTGGAACCAGCAGCAAGGAAATATGGAATTTATGCTAGCTAAACGGACTCTGTAGAGCATTTTGCCAGTAATATCTCACTTCATATCCCTATTAGTTCTGTGCAATAAATCAGTATTATCTCATTTGATATAAGACACAGAGGCAATGACCTACCCATGCTCACACAGCTAGAACATGAAGGGCCCAGGTTGGAACCCCAATCTGACTTTGGAGCACACACATGTAGTGTGCAAATGCACTAACAGTGCCACAGAGGAAGAGCATTAACATCTGGGAAGGAAAAGACCATTCCAGATTATTTTGTCTCCAGCACTTCATTTGTATTTCCAAGGTTGAATTATATGGTATTGCTGCTTTTATAATGAAACACTCAAATTTCTTATAATTTCTAATAACTCCAGAAAATATAGGCATTCCTTCACCCATGTATTCACTGGGTCACTCAGCAAACATCAAGCATCTAGCAGTTGCCTGGTATTATGCCAGATGCTAGTTACATAGTAATAAACAAGAATTGACACAATCCCTTACATCA